ATTGGAACTATTGAGTTTTCTTAGCAAACTAACATCAGATGACCAATTGATTTATGGTTTATTCAAATTTCGAAATTTTCTTGCTTTGTTAAGTTCAATTGTAGTAATTTTTGAGAATAGCAAACCCTATTCAAAGCATCAACAGTCCTTTAAGGCGAAAGCACTGTATTTCACAGCACTAGAGCACTTTCTGGATGCAAAAAGCGGTGGTAGGTCTCCCTGACAGATGACCACGAGTCTTCTTCTGTCTATTGTCCTGGGTTTCCTTGTCCTTCATCAGCGCGTTCTCACATGAGGTCCGCGCACCTGTGTAGGGGCGGTGCTGGCGGAAGGGCGTGACCGCCGCCTTCGCCCCAGCACCTCGTTCATTCGGAATTCCAGCGATCCTTTGCAACGCTACCTATCCGTCAACTCATCGCTTTACTATCAAGTCTTTATTACTATTCCTATCAATCAATATGAAGGCTATGCACCGTGAAACTCGTCCAGCTGCTCCCGTTTCTCCTACGGGAAGAATTCGTAAATCATCTGCTGAGAGGAAAGAAAAGTTAAAGGTTTGTTTCACAATTTAATCTCATTTATTATTTTATTTTCACATTTTCTGCAAGATTTGTTATTATTTGAAAGCATTTTCTGATTTCTTTCCTTCTTTAGGTTGAATCCACTCTTCGCCGCCTTGTCGGTTCCGAAGAAGGCACTTCACAACTCGAACTCGTCCTCTCTGCTATACGCTATATCCGCGAACTACAGTCACAACTCGAAAATGACAAGGAAAACGAACTACCCGATAATCTTCAGGACCTTTTTACCCAATGTGCTGTGACAAAACCGGCAACTGCTTGAATTTCCTTTGCAAAACCTTGTTGTCTTGCTAGGAATGTGTGTGCGTGTGTGTGTGATAATGGTCCCATTTTTGGGGACCTAAAACCTCTCTGCTATATTCGGGTAATCGCTTGACTTTGTGCAGTTACAGTTTATTTTGTCATTGTCATTGTCATTGCGTTCTATGCGTAGTTTTATCTACTACGTTATTGTAAATACGTGTGTGAGACTTAACAACAGAGCAATAAAGCTATCAATTAGTTATTTTCTCCTTTGAAATATGAAAAAAAGGGATTTTCTTTTCTGAAAATCCTAGTCATACGCAGCCGATGAATATGAAAAGACATTTGTGAATGGACATATCTGGCTGACAGCTGTGTGCAGCTCGAAGCAGATGCCGCCTTAGGCACGAACAGTTGGCAAGCAGCTGAGGCCAAACCCGGGCAAATGGCATCGTGCATCTGAAGCCGACCAGACGGACAACGAGCGGGCCAGCTGAACCGCCAAAGGATTAGGTGGTCTAATCTTCAGCACCTACCACAAAAGTCTTTTGAACGTTGGTCTACCTCTTCATACTGTAAATATCTACATTGTTGGTTGCCCATTTAGAGCAATATTGCAATTAAAGGGAGTTGTACCTATTAAGAGGGAAACGATGAGCGGTTATTAATTACCTAACTATTAAGGTTGACGAATGTACATTACCGAGTGAATACCGTTTGATAAATGTACAAAATAAAGTATAAATACATATTCTATGCAGTTTATTCTTTATTTCTAACTCCTATCTTACTGCTTTGCATAAAGTACGTTCCATTCACATAACGCCTAAACTTTCTGTTTCATCTTTTTTATCCCGAAAGATAACTAGCAAAGAGTGGTGTTTCAAGAGTTGGCACGAATCCTTGGTGGAAGATCCTGTTTTTGTGTTCCACAAAAAGAAGTTGAGTTTTGGATGATAAGGGGCATTTATAAAAACATTAACATCTGCGTTTTGACTAACAATAAGCGGTTAAATTGGTAGGAATCTGAGTTCATTGGTTTAAAGTTCCTTTTTTGCGACAACCATTCTACCCGAAGAGAATGCTGCAACAGAAGTTACCGTAACTAGCATCAGATCGGTTAGTAGAGAAAATGGCACCTACTGAGACAAAAGCCTACTTGACTTTTTTGTTATAGTTCTTAATGAGAAAATGCTCTCTTTGAGAGGTGATGAACTGGCCTCAATGTATTGATGAATGAGAAAATTTCTCTTTGAAAAATTACTTAAATGCTGAAAAGGATAGAAACATTTGATTAAATCGATGCTTTTTTTTTTGAACCGTTACAGAATTTATTTACGGCTAATTTTTTACGGTACTAAAATAGGAAATATTTTCTATTATTAAACATGTATACTTTTGCTGACGGCTTACTTTGACTATTTTCAAAATATTGATGCAAAGCGGTGTGAAATCAAAATTTGCGCCTAATCAGTTTATCAAATCCTTTTTAACCAAAGAGAAGAGAAATTTCTGTAACAACGTCGTCGAACTCAACTTTGTGCTCGGAATTTCCCAGTAAACTCTTTTAGAACTTTTGAATATTGTAGAGCGAGATGTCGGTTTTTCTTAAGGCCTACGGTGATACTTTTTGACAAAACTAATATTGTATGTAAGACACAAATGACAATTCGTTTTTTTTTTCAA